TTTGGTTTGCCTTAGAGGTGGAGAAACCCCAGCCTTGGGCTGTAACTGCCCTGTTTGAGCAATTTGTCCTGAGTTGGCACTCTCAGTTGGGTCCCGCCAGAACCGCATTGTCACAGGGCTGATGGATTAGAGCGGGGAGATTCGGAGCCAGGACTCCTGGGTTCTCTCCCTGGCTCCGGGAAGGGAGTGGGGGCTGGTGGGTTAGAGCAGGGGGGGCTGGGAGCCAGGACTCCTGGGTTCTCTCCCCGGCTCTGGGAGGGGAGTGGGGGCTGGTGGGTCAGAGCAGGGGGGGCTGGGAGCCAGGACTCCTGGGTTCTCTCCCCGGTTCTGGCGAGGCCATCTGGCCCCCAGCTGCACCCTCCGCAGCATCTTTTCCCTCCTCCAAGGGACGATGATGAGTTTGTGAACCCCCCCGCTATGGTGGCCTACCTGAGCCAGACGCCCAACGCCTCCCACATCATCCACAGCTACATTCGGAACCATTTGGCCGTGATGAGAAGCACGAAATATCGCCTTTCCTCCACCCTGTTCCCCCAGGACACGTACCCCGACTTCCCCTCCGGGGGCGGGTTCCTCATGCCCAGGGCCAGCATTCCGGTCCTTGCCACGGCCTCCGAGCGCATCCCCGTCTACTTCGGCTTCCTGGTGCTGGCTGCCGGGCTGCGGTACCGGCACGACGACCGATTCCGGATGTACGGCGTGCGGGACGAGCAGTGTCTGTACGCGGAGGCCTTCGTGGTGCATGGGGTGTCGCTGGGCAGGGTGGAGGAGGTGTGGAGAGGGTTGTACAAGGCGCAACAGTGTAACATGACGGGGCCTCTCCCCTCTTAGGGGTGCAGGGAATGGGGCAGGGGCCTGTCCCCTCTGGGGGGTGCCGGCTCCCATCCGGCCCCAGGGCGGGGATTGGCTGGCTCGGGGGTGGGGGGCAGGGGCCTGTCCCCTCTAAGGGGTGCCGGCTCCCACCGGGCCCCAGGGCAGAGACTGGCTGGCTCAGAGGGGCGGGAAATGGGGAAGGGGCCTGTCCCCTCTAGGGGGCGCCGGCTCCCCTCCAGCCCCAGGGCAGGGACTGGCTGGTTTAGGGGGGTGGGGAATGGGGCACGGGGGCTTTTGCCAACTATCTGGACTAAATTTGATTACTTGTGCTCTACTTTTGACTAGTTATTGTCGGGGTTCAGAGTTTGCTAGGGCGGGGGGAGAGTGTCTCATAATTCTGGGAATTAAGCACAGGGCCCCCGTTTCTCCCACTCCACTGGGTCACCCCACTGCTGGCAGCCATCATTAGGTTTCAGAGTTAACACTCCTAAACTAACAGTCTCATCCGTGTGACTAGAGCTCCGTGCCTCGGTACGCAAAGGAAATGCCAGTAGGTGGCGCTGCTGCGCATGCAGCCTGGTGCCTTGAGTGTGTAGGACCCACAAAAATGGCTGCCTACTGGAAACGGGGAGGTGGGGAGCCGAGGAGGGCTCCATTGCGAAGCCCCCAATTGCTGCACAGCTGTGGCAAAGGGAAGCGGAGTCAAAGTAGAAACATGGCGCTGTTCACTCTAGTCCCTAATGATGGCTGATTTGAAGTGTCAGGGCAGATAAGGAATTTGAGGTATAAAATCCACCCCGCCCCCATACAGAACAGAGCTACCTCCCCCCGCCCATGACCCCGTTGCTAAGCGACGCAGGCTATCCAGCTAGCGGTTACATCCAGGTATTTATTGAAACGGAGCTGGGACCGACGAGGTGAAATGTACAAACAGTCGGCGGTGGGGGTGAGGTGGGGAATTCGGTGGCGGAGACTCGTATAAAAAACCCGAGGGGGTGGAGGGGTGAGAGGGGCAGTTTGTGGGGAACAGGGCGGGGGGCTTAAAACAAGGGGTGGGGCCGTCTCACTCAGAAGAAATCCACGTCTTCGGGGGCGTCCAGGTCTCTGTACTCGACGATCGCGCGGGGGTCGCCCCGGACCATCCTGGGGGGGGGGAAGAGACGGAGTGGGTGAGAGCCACGGGCCCGTTCTGCCCCATATCCACCCCCCACACGCCGCTCTCCGATGGGTTCACCGGTCCCCACCTACCTGTTGCGCGGTTTGTTGAGGTAGCCGCCCTGCCCCCGGAAGGTGTCATAATTACCACGGCCGGCGGCGTAGGGGGCGTGAGGGTAGGGGGGGCCGCCTGTGGGAGGGACAGACGGACACATGTCAGCAGAGAAAACTCAGCACAATCTTCTTACCCAGGGACCCCTCGCCCGGCACTGAGATGCGGCCACCTCTGGGGTGGGGAACCCCTTGCCCAACACTCAATCCCCACCCCGCTCCTGGCAGGAAGGGGCATCCCCTACTGAACTCCGCATCCCAACTTACCACCGTATCCCATAATAGGCGGGCGCGGCTGTCCGTACGGCATCAGCCCCTGGGGTGTCTGGTGTGGGTAGGGCAGCCCAGGGGTGAGACCTGGAAGGAGGGGAAGAAAGGAAGGGCAGAGATGTAAGACACTGGGGTCCCAGCCCCTGCTCCCCTCCCAGAGCCGGAGAGAGAACCCAGGAGTCCTGGCTCCCAGCCCCCCTGCTCTGACCCACCCAGCCCCCACTCCCCTCCCAGGGCCGGAGAGAGAACCCAGGAGTTCTGGCTCCCAGCCCCCCTGCTCTGACCCACCAGCCCCCACTCCCCTCCCAGAGCCGGGGAGAGAACCCAGGAGTTCTGGCTCCCAGCCCCCTTGCTTTCACTCCCCCATACAGCGAAGACCAGGATTCCCGTGTGAGACCCAGGAAGGCAGATGGGCCCCGAACCCCAGGGGCACGACACCCCACCACCCGTCATCTCCCGGGGGGGTGCCGCGTACCCTGCCCGGGTCCAGGGGGCTGGTTGGGTTTGATCTCGGGCAGCGCTGGGCGCTTGGCGTCCATGAGGAAGCTGTTGAAGAACGACACCTCCTTCTTCACCTCCTCGATCTTCTCCGCATGCTTGTTGAAGATGTGTTTGCGCACAAACTCGGGGCCCTGCCGGGGAGGGGGGTGAGACAGGGGTGAGTTGGGGAAACCGAGGCAGGGGAGTCCCTCAAACCCCCCCCCCCCTTCTCCCACACACACCTTGAATTTCTTGCCGCTGAGCGGGCACAGCCATTTGTCCTTGCCCAGCTCCTGGGTGTTGGCCGTGACGAACTTCTCCACCTCCTGCTCAGGGTCCTTCTTGCCCATCTTCTGGGCCTCCTCGTCTGACAGCGACTCCCTCACGGTGGAGAGCGGGGCCAGCTTCTCCTCGAAGGTCTTCTGCCACTCGGCCACTGTGGAGGGGACCCAGGAGTCCTGAGCGCCGGCCCCCTGGCTTGAACCGCTAGCCCCCCGCTGCCCTCCTAGAGCCAGAGGGAACCCAGGAGTCCTGGCTCCCAGTCCCCCTGCTCTCACTCACCAGCCCCCACTCCCCTCCCAGAGCCAGGGAGAGAACCCAGGAGTCCGGGCTCCCAGTCCCCACCCTGCTCTAACCGACCAGCCCCCACTCCCCTCCCAGAGCCGGGGAGAGAACCCAGGAGTCCGGGCTCCCAGTCCCCACCCTGCTCTAACCGACCAGCCCCCACTCCCCTCCCAGAGCCGGGGAGAGAACCCAGGAGTCCGGGCTCCCAGTC